TCTCACACTCCCCCTGAATTCACACACTGACACACACCTGACTAGACTGGAGACACTGCTGTCCCTCTCCTCTCACACTCAGCCACTAATAATTGATTACTGGAACAGAATGGACTCTCTCAGGCTCTGGAGCAGTAGGACTTACTCCACCTGTGAACACTGTATGTCTTTCCCATGTTCACAGTGGTTAAGTTCTGCTGCTTAGATCTCCCATTCTGCATGACTGACAAACAGCACAGACTGGAGTCAATCCTGGTATCTCTTGTCTGAAGAGTCAACTCTATTTTCGTAAGAAAAATATTTTTTCCTCCCGTGTTTAATGCCCATATCTGAATTTGCGTGTCCCTCCTCAATACCTGTCTCTCAGTATGTCTGTCCCTCAGTGGGCCTCGCTGTCCCTCAGTGGGCCTGTCTGTCCCTCATTGTGTCTGTCTGTCTCTCAGTGGGTCTCACTGTCCCTCAGTGGGCCTGTCTGTCTCTCAGTGGGCCTGTCTCCTGGGCCTGCTGTGCTGAATATCAGTGCTCTCAGTCTAGCTGGCTCAGTTCAGCAGGAACAGGAGCCCTGTCTGCCGAGGAAGAGAGAGGGGAGAGGAGAGGAACTCAGCAGCCCTGCAGCCTGGACTAGTGCAACAGATGCGCAGACAGCGCAGTCACAGAGAGCCAGGACTACTGCTCTGCCTTGACGTTCTAATACGATGATTTTAACAACTGCAATTTCCAAACTGTTCGCTGCTTTAATTACAATAAAAATTTAGTTGGACAGAAATTAGACATGTGTCTTGAGTTGTTTTGCTTTAAGGAATTCTGGGAAACCAGAGCATCATGTAACACCTCCTTTCATCCCCTCTGTCTCTCTCTCCTCTGTCTCTCTGTCTCTCTCCCCTCTGTCTCTCTCTCTCCTCTGTCTCTCTAGCCCTGCCTGCACTGGCAGGGATTTTCACCCATGATTCAGTGCTCTTTGCTGGTGATGGTCCTAACTTCCTAAACTCGCTCCACGTCAGCAGGAGTGACAGCACCAGCAGTACCAGCGACGATATGACAAAGCCTGAGTGGGCAGGGCCGGATCAGGCTGAGATGCAAGACCACTGTGAATGATTGTCGTGAAGACAAATGTGGAGCACAATTCTGCAGTGACGGATGACATCATGAATGCGAATGAGGTCACAAAAATCCACGCAGAACCCCCAACACACACGTGCACACACACACACAACCTGTGCGTCAGGGAAAAACGGGATCACAGGGAATTCGCTGCCTCAGACAGTGGTGGTTGCCGATAATGGATGCAGGTTGCCACAGGACCGTCTGTGTGTGTACGCCACACACAGAGACCATGTGATAGTGCCCCCTGGTGTCAATCCTGGGCCCTGCATGTAGTATGCCATTGGCATGTTGCCACCGCGACACAGGCTCAGATTCAACTACTTGCACATGGGGTCCAGTGTCTCGAACCCGAGCTCCTGCTCACACACACTCACACCAGACCAGACTGTGTGTCTGTGGGGACCAGTGTCTCGAGCCC